TCCCCCTAATCAGGGACTGTGAATCCAATGCACTGCTTGCACCTTATGGCATCTGGTTTAAATGCGTCGGTGTGCGTATTGCTTGCGATCGGTTTTTATTATCCCACTGCTTTTTCAGCTAATGCATTAACATCCGTAGGTAGCGGATGATTTAATCTCTCTCAAAATAGGGTGTTTTGGGTCATCACCCAGCGAAGAAGTGGTGTTAGACTTACAAGCTTGTGCTCATATCAGCGCGTGGAGTCTAACTTACTTTTGAGACTCTTCATGCGTCGACCTCCTAGTCATGACTTAGGCTGGCTGACGTTTTCGATTCTGTCCCTATCGGTTCCACCCGGTGGGCATTCGTGGGTAACTGTTTGATATAGACATTTCCAGTGGCTTATTGAACTCGGCCACTTTAGCAACTGGCTTTCCTGTAATGGCAAATCCAAAATTGCTCCAATTACTCTTCCTGAACTGATGCTGTTTATACAGATCTAGTTTTCTTAGTATGTGTCCTCAGTCACCAACTAAATGGTTAATTTTTGCATCTTCCTCAATTTTTACTCGTCTCGAGCATTTGTTTGTGAGTTAGGACTCTTGGCTTTTGGGCGCCCTTTTCACTTTGCTTCTTCCCATTTCCGTTCGCTCCTCTCCCCATTGTTAGATGCCATCGTATTGGACAAACCCGAGATGTGCATATTTACCGCTTGATCAGTGAAAGAACCGTTGAGGAGAATATACTCCGTAAGGCTAACCAGAAACGTCTCCTCAGTGATGTCGCCATCGAGGGTGGCAAGTTTACAACGGCCTTTTTCAAGCAGAGTATCATCTCCGACCTCTTTGCTGAACCCTCTGGTCTGCAGGTACGTATGCCTTATTTTTTGCTCACCATGTTCTTATCAGAAATTTACCTTAAATCACCGGACACTTCCCTCCTCACTCATCTGATTCTCCGTCAATGAGGTCTATATGTATTTAAACACACATGGTGCTCTTTAAAAAATTTACCTACCAGAGCTAGACCTAATGAGTAAACAAATGTTATCGATCATACTTATGTCTCTCGTGTATAAATCGCTCGATTTGCCCTAATTTCCAGCCGAGTGTAGTTTGCCCTAAAAGTAGTCATTATGCCACGCCCGCTTAGCTGGAGTTTACACCTTGCCAACTTAAACTGAGGAGTTTCGGTATTAGTCGCCCTGCACCTCATGGGCGAGCTTCATATCAGTACTGACTGTTAACAGTAGTCAAATTTAATCGCCCCAGCTGACGCCATAAAGCCTTCTCTGGATTCCTTTATGCCCTTGATCCTATCACCATCTTGCTCTCTACCACACCCTTTTAGGATCTAGTGAACGAAGGAAAAGATGAGGAGAAACAGGCCGAGGAATCCTCCTC